TATAAAAGTGGCTGACTATTACTTTTATGGATTAGAAGAGATGATTTGAGATTGTTCTGAGATATATATTTCAAAATATTAAAAAAATTTTAATCTCAATTTTGTAAACATATATATTTATATAAAACTTTTATCATTTCAATACGCCGATCAATAGGTACTGCAAAACTTGAGGAACACTTTTCTTCACTCTGTATAATTGCAAATATTATTACAACAAATAATAACGGATATACTTTACCATTTATTCCGTCTCTTTGTCCAAAAACTACTACCACTTTTTTATTTTCATAACTTAATTTAATATCGAGTGGAAAGTTAAAAGACTTTTCGACTTCAATTTTCGGAACATTATGATCGTGATTAAAAATTAAACCACCAGATTTTGACACGATGTAAACACCATATATCACCATTTTTACGTATGTGTGTTTTGAAGGTTAAGTATATTCATCAGACTTTTTGTATGTGTGTATAATTTTATCGCATTTAAATCAATTTTACTATAATGATTTATATTTCGCCACAATGCCCTAAATAACTCGGACTTTTTGAAAAATTTTACTTTTTTACCATCATTACTTTCAAATATGCATTCGCGTGAAAGATGCTTACTAGAGCTGTTTGTAGCTGCGTGCGTAATGACAGTTCGTGATAGTTGACAAGTTGACTCACAAATGCAGGTAGCATATTCTTAGTAATATAAATTCTGATATACAAAGTAAGACAAATAAAACATTACAAGCCAATAACTCTAAAAATATTTGTCAAATCAAAAAGTAAAATCAAAACGAAATTTTATTTAACCTAACCTAACCTAAACAATAACATTTCTGGGGTCACGCCGTCACGCCGTCACGCGTCACGCTGGAGCAAGCTTCGTAGAAAGAATTAATAAGCGTTTAGAGTTCAGATGAGAATGGACAGTTTAAACATTTAATATAGTAAAAAAAAAAAAGGAAAACTATAGTCTTTCATTTAATTTATGATTTTATCATTAGTTTGAATACATCCTACTTTAAAGTTTAAATGCTTATAACTTTTAATAGAAGCATTTTTAAACAAATGTTTCAGATAAAATTTACTTGGTTTTTTCCCGTAGTATCTAAATATGTAATATTTTATATAGGGAGTTCCATTTGAAATTATAAAGTTATCCCCGCCTCCCTTAAAGGGGGAGAGGGGCCGACTTTATGTTTACGTAGTTAGAAAGGTCCCTTGAATACATGAAACTTTCTCATGAACAACTTTTTGATTCGACAAAAATTTTTAGTTATTGGCTTATAACGTTTTATTTGTTTCACCTTGTATATTATTGATTAATTATTGATTCTGTTTAAATCTCCTACAGCTTCAAAATATGAGCTCGCAAGAAGATAATTTAAATTCTTTGCATAAAGTATACAAAAATGATCCAATTTTATTCAGTAATTATGTCGAAAAAGAGGTTAAGATAATGATGAAGGATGAAAACGTCTACTATGGTACTGTTTATACAGTTGATCCGGTATCGGAAAGGTTATCAAAAAGAATACATTAATTGAATACTTATTAATTTAATTATATATAATTCTATAATAAATTGTGACTAACTTTTAATTAAAAAAAAACAAACATTCTTCAAACTTAATTAATAACCAAATTTATAATTTTCATTATTAAAGACATATTTACATCTATTATTATGTATGGTGTATATATATTCTTATTTATATAAAATTATATATATTTTGGCCTATAAAATAAAATTTGAATTAAATTCTACATTTAAAAACTTATTATTTTTGTGTAGACTATTGTGTAATTTTGTGTTTATATAAAAGAATTATAAACTTTATTAAATTTATATATTTTATTTTATATTTTCATTATTTGTATCCGTAGTTATTTTATTTTTGGAAACATCATTCTAAAAAAAGTTTTGATATTTTCTTGTCACATTTATTTCATATGTTTTTAGTTTTTCTAATTGTAATCCACAATAATTTCATGATTCTTTATCTTTGCTGAATTTGAAGTGATTAATTTTGACTAATTGCAAATATTGATATTATTTTACAGTATTGTGCTCTTACAGTCAGGAACATCTACGCAATATCGTTTAAAAATAATATTCAACCATGCCATTAAGAATATCGAAGTAATATCGAAAACGAAAAAAATCGTGCCAGAATTGTTCCAGCCTGCAAAACTTTCACAAGCGACAGTTACTAAAAGAAAGGATATCATTATACAATTATTATTGGATAATCGATTTCCAGTCAAAGAGGAGAATGATGTCCTATTGATCGAAGATACTGTATCAATAGAACCTCCATATTATCCCGAAAATTGCACGTGTACTAACAGTATTATTCTTACCAGAATACAAAATATTTTAATGCGTGTAAATATTGAATAAAATTAATTACGCTCAACAAAATACAAAATCATATTTCAAGATGCCTTGTCAAATTTTACAGAGGGTGTTTCATTACAGAATTTTGAATTGTACTATATAAGCCAATTTAGAATAGATTATCAAAATATCGAAACGCTAATAATTTACGAGTTATAAGCCTCTAAAAATAGCACATTTCACAAATTGAACATTGAGAAACTAAATGGATGATAAAATTACATTGTTCAGTTAATTTTAGATGAATATCCTGTATAATATTGCATTCACATATGTATTGAAATATGTAAGGGAGTTTCAATATATAATAGTTCAGTTGTTTGTATATAGTAATAATATATTTTACCAAAAGCATTTGCTTTGCTAATTACAAAAATAGCCTTATTTATCATTAGGAATGTATTTATTACATGCTGTGAAATTGAGGAATTTTTTAAAACCCAATAATTCAAGAATTTTCATTCTCTGGATTTTTTTTAAACGATCACCGAGGAAAGAAAGTATTAAACTTTAAAAAAATTTCTTTCGGTTTCCTAATAAAAAATAATTTTCCGCTTCGCAAAACGGTGTTTTACCTAAAGTATGACATTAATGCATTTTAAGACTGTTAATTTAAAAAGTAGGTTTACAATTTACAGCAATTGATTTGTGTACATATATGTGATATTTTTTACATTTATATATGTGAAATAATGTGAAGATTGCGAAAAGCTATCTGACAAGAATAGATGATTATAATAACTATCCATTTTGTGAGGGCAGGAACAGCTGTTTCACAGAAGTGTAGTGAAATGCAGCTGCAGTTATAAGTTTATCATTATATAGCTATTTAGGATTAAATGTACATAATTATCCAATTTAAAATTAATGCCATTATACTGAATGAGAGCTTTATATTACACAAGATTCAGAGTTCTTGTATTAAATGTGGCACTTATTCTAACTTCTAACAAAGTTAGAATAATGTATTTCGTGTTAAATGCATAACTAGTGGACACACTGGTTTATGTCTGCTGAATTTTGAATTTATTGGATTGTCAAGAATCTCTTATTACTATTAGATTATGTGTAATACAAGATACATGTAAAATTGATATGTGATTTACATAATGCAGTTTGTGCTAATAAACAGTTTCATTCAGTATCAAGTATTGGATACATTTAATACACATGTTAAATTATTTAATTGAAAACGTAAAAATAGCATAACTGAAGCGTTTTAAGAATAATTACAACATTTATGGTCTCCGTCCTTTTATTGTAACCACATTGAATTTTCGTAGTTTCAATTAACTAGTTGTACTTTAAACTGTATCTCAATTATCTTTAATTCTTAATTTAAACTAGCTATATAAATACATATCGAAATTGGAAAAATTTCATATATAAATGAAGATATACTAAATTTATATGCATTATCTCTGTACTTGCAAATGGTGATGGAATGTTCTTAAAAAGCTTATAGTAATATTTCGAGTTATCAGAGGCTAATTAGCTGATAATATAAATAATAATAATAGAATCGAATCTATTATTTTTTTTTAAATACAGATATATGTTTGATATATGTATATGTGCATAAGCACTTAAATGTTATATAAAGACTTATTGCTTTAATTGTTTAACAAGATACTTTTAGATAGTTTGTTTTATATATTTAATGATACTATGCCAAAATTTAATTCTACTTTTAATTATAAAAGATATAAAGTAATTCTGCATATGTAAATACAAAATGTTAAAATTTCTTTTTACTCAAGTTTAGGGATATTAATATATACAGTTATGCTTTTTTTATTTGTATAATTTGATATGATAATAACTAACACTCGGTATTTTCTGATAATTGAACAATTCCAATTTTAAGCTTTAACCTTGAATTGTGCAGAACTGAACATTTTATGATTCTAAATTTATGTGTAAAATAGCAAAATGAAATTAGGCAACATAATGATGAGAAAGAAACAAACAAATCCAGTATTCCTGTTTGCAGTGAATACTATTTTCGTTCGAATTTTTCTTGATGCTTATTCAAACAATCGCATCTTTCGATATTGTAAATCAATTAAATAATTTGACAATTTTGGTTTTGTTCGAAATGTGAACATGTTAAAACCTTTCCATTTTTATTTCAAATTATTCAAATAATTTCACACAAATCATTTGAATTTGCGTCCAAGATCTAATAATAAGATACAATAAATTTGACATATTTTGTATTGAATATTTATGTATAAGAATTAGAAGCATAACTTCTAATTAATTTTTCTTGTTTCTCTTTATATCTAATTATTTTTTCTTTTACAATCATGTAATGATTCAAATATGATTGAATTTTTTATGCAAATTTTTATGTTACATTCTAATATCATCTGATTTATCAGTGTCATCATGTGTTTTCATAAATACTAAGAGATCATAATGGTGGCAGTATATTTAATAAAATAAAAATGAAATTTGAAAGCGATTCAATAAAATGATTTGAGATATTTTTATTGTTATATTGTTTATCGTCAATGTTACGTATTATCTTTCATTTAAAGTTTGTACATAAAAAATTCTTGTTATAAAAAAAATATATCAAGTACCAAAATTTTAAAAAGCTATTTTAAAGACAAACATTAACGTTCACTTAGCGATAAAAATAGTATTGATATGTGACATTTACTTAAATTAAGACTGAGAAATCTGCTTATTAATTTTAACGAATATTGAAATCTATAATAATAATCAGTTCTCTTAGGCCCAGTTGCACCAATGTTATTTTGGCTGTAAGCAAGACTTAAAACTTTTGTCAATAAGCATTAATTAAATCGTTGGTTAACTTATAGTTTAAAACCTAAAGCCAAAATAACATTGGTGCAAGGGGCCTTAGAAATTATTGTTTTAATTAGACCCAATCAAACAACGTTACGTTAACAGAAATGATTATATTCTATAGCGATAATGAAACTGATCTGCGCTAAGTTATGTGGAATGTAACAAATATGCACAAAAATTGATTTTGTACAAATGCATTTTTTAAAATAATAACGCGTTTTAAACAGTTTTCCAATAATATAAAAACATGAATAATCAAGGTTAACTATAATAAGGAGTACAAAATATGTGAACTTATTCATTACATATTCAGACTTGTAGATGCTCTTGTTTATCGATGTTCTCATTGTATAACATGATATAAGTGCAATAAATGAATGTTAACTTAAGCAAAGAAAATTAGTGATTTTACAATACTGTAAGATATGTTTGCACTCAGGTAGCCAAAATAGATAATTTGGTGTATAAGCTCTGCTATTCGCGATATTAATCTTTGTATTTTAACGTGATCTTAGAATTGAATGTTTCTTTAACTATGTATGTGAATACTGTGAGAATTTGCATACAATAAAGTTAACAATATGTACAATATAATTTGTTAACATAGGCATTTGATGATATCAAGTTTGTTTGTTCACATATCAATTATCATTGTGCTACAAGCGTATGAACTACTACAAATATCAATACATTTGCATTTTTTCGAATCATTATAGAAGCACGAGCTTTTGTTGTAATAATTGTAATAGTCTTCTTATTTAATATACGAACGAATGCATTGTATCTACATTTATGTTGTGGCATTTAAAGCTCTTGGTTATTTCAGTTTATTCTCCGCAGAAATAAATTGCTTAACGATTTATTACTTTATGAGGTAGGTCATTCCGTTTCGTTGTCGGAATAATATTCTATTTTCGTCGTAACACGAGGTTTTTTCGAGTATCTTAATCCTAATGTATCCGCGATCTTTTCAATATGGGATAGTACCTGAAATATATAATAACCTTAACATTAAAATAACAAATTTCTCGACTTAGCAATGCTATACTTACATAATCGAGCTGTTCCTTTGTGTGCGCAGCAGAGAGACAAAATCTAATTCTGCCTTGCATTAATGGCGTTGCCGGGAAACCAACACCGACGGTTGCGATGTTACACGTCGTCAGAGTACGGATCACTGCACTGTGTTGAGAATATATTGTGGAAATATATATTTTTCCTTACTTTAAATTTGTATTGCATTATTATTTTTTTATCGTATTTTAAAATGTACTATCACACAGATTACAAGATTTTACAAGGTGTGTATCCAAAGCTTGTAAAAAAATTCCCTGAGAATTTCTAGATTTTTCAGGTAATTCGTTCAAAATTCCAGATATTATTCTCTTATTATAAAATAAGAGAATTTTTAAATAGAGTTTTTTTAAAATAAGTTCTTTTTGTGTGCGTTTTCTAATGCTTTTCACTTATACAAAGGAAAAATAAACCACTTAAATTTTAAATATTAAATTCAAGAATGTACTGAAAAGAACTGAATAACTTTTGTAAGATAAGTATTTTTCATTTGCATATTTTCATTTTCTATCATTAATTGTAAAAATTACATAAGAAATTACATAACAAATGTATACTCAGTATTGTGTATTCAATACTTTTGCTATGACAATGAAGATATGATTAAAGAGAGACAGATATATATTTATTAGAGATGCAACGAATAGTATATTCGACCGAATACCGAATATCGAATATTAGTGTTTCATGTGCCGAATAACCGAATATTCGGCGAATATTAGGCATGGTTTTAGCGCCAACGGCTCAACATAGACTATTCGAAAACAATGCAATGGACGCACAGCACTCTTGACCGCGTCTACCCGCATAAATACACTATGTAACAATAAATGTGTTTTATTTAATTTAATTTTATTAGATATAGATATATTAATAAATAAATTAGATACTCGAGCATGTTAAAACTATGGCTGAGGTGGCAACAGTCTATTAGCTACAATTTCTTTCCAGTTTTATATTTAAAACTATTCGGTATTCGGCCGAATAGTAAAAACGTTGCCGAATAGGCAGAATACCGAATAGTTGCCTAATATTCGTTGCAACTCTAATATTTATAATATATTTGAAATATATAATTCACACAATCATTGGCTAATCAGATTGCCGATGCTTGCAATATAAGAACAAAATGATCAAAGAGAGAATTTTTGAAAAAATTCTATGAGAATTTCCTGATTTTTTAAGGTAAAAACAAAATCCCTTAGAATTCCAGGTTTTCTAGGTTTTTCTAGAGAATAGACATCCTGTTTTAGAAATGACAAATTGAAAATAATAATATTCTTCCTCCACTTACGCAATTTTAGAATATAGGTAAACTAGCATAGGCACAACGGGCGAATCCTCATTTCCATGGATTATAACTCCGATCTGATTTAATCTGCGTCTAAAATATCTTGTATTCCTAGCTAATTGTTTGATACGTTTTTCACCGGCATCGGTGCCATCTTCTCCCATAATGATTCTCATCGACGTGATAATTTGTTGCGTAACCGGCGGAGACATCGATGCCGCATATGTATGCGCGTGACTATGTATCCTTATATGATTTATCAATGTCTGAAAGAACATTTGATCAAACAAAACATTTGATTAAAAAGATTCGTAAGTATTAATAATGAAACATAAATCATTAGAGATATTACTTTTGTTCCAGCTATATATCCACCCGCCGAGGCAAAGCTTTTCGTGAACGTTCCCATGAGAATATCAATTTCACGCGGATCGACGCCGTAATAATCGCAAACTCCTCTCCCACGCTTTCCCATAGCACCTGTACTATGCGCTTCATCCACGTAAAGATAGGCCTATTCGATAATCAGAAATTCTTACTAATCGTAACGTGATTTAAAAAAAAGAGAGAATAGCAATTAAAATAATCGACATTGTTCTTACGAACTTTGTATTTTTTTTTTAATTCTACTATTTCAGGCAGATGAACGATTGAGCCCTCCATAGAGTAAACGCCTTCGACAATGATAACTATCTTTTTCCAAGATTCGCCAGTTTTTGGCTGTCCGAAAACAATGGCCTTTTTCAAACATTCCTCCAAGTGTTTCACATCTGCGATAAACCATGACTTCTTTATACTTCTAAGAGTATACAAAAAATAATTATGCGTTTTGTAAATGTGGTTACTGCGTATTGCATTTACTGTTATGTTTGAAGATCTGTATCACTGCCCCAGATAGCCTCAGTCCAAGTATAAGCGATGCGTGATTTTTTTCATCACTAAGAACCAGACAACTCTCGTTGACCAAAGACGGCAGGTTTAAAGAATTCGTTGCAAATCCCATTCCAAATACTATGGCGTCTTCGACTTCCAGAAATTTCGCAGTCAATTTTTCTAATTCATCATGTATCGGCATAGTCCCTTTGAACAATAAAAAATAATACTTTTATTCGATTCCTTTTTGAAGTACATACATATTAAGTTTTATTTAAAAAAAATATAATATATGGAACTTTTTTAATAAATTATCAGTATCATCAAATTATAAAAAAGATGTAAATTTTTAAATGGTCAAGTTTCAATAATTATAATTCGATATAAAAATTTTGTCACTTTCTAATTGAATACTGATTATAATTTATTACAGATGTTGCGCATATATATATATATGTTTTATAAAATTTTCGTTAAAAGATATTAATATTTATAGCTACAATAGCCAATAGTGTGAGCTGCCTTAAAAAAATGGGTGCACGCGTAACGGGGCAACGAAAGCTCTGAAACAAAAAAAAAACAAGTATTTTCTTAAAATATAAGACAATAGCTTCAGTTGCACATATGGAATTTTCAATTGAATAATTTGTTTTTTTGTAATGTTAAATAGTGATAGAATGTTGTTAAATGGACTTAATTTTTTATATCATTAGATAAATAAAAAAAAGATAAACTGTCTTCTAAATATACCAATTTTTCATTTTATATGCTTTCTCATGATAATATAATTTAGTTTCAATAAATGCGCATAGTTTTGAATTGCAAATATTTCGTCCGTCTTTCTATTTAGGAGAAAACGTTAGATAATAAGAACATTTCGTTAGTTATTTACCTAATTCAAGACGCGTACTGCATGTGGCACAGCCGAACTTCCTAAGCGTTTCGATGCTTTCCTCAGCACACTTACCACTCGCCTCGGCAAACCCTAAATAATTGTAAGAGCCCAAGTTTATACATTGCGTTTCAGTTCCAGTAAATCTGTCAGAATTAAAAAATTCGAGATTTTAATTCTATTAATACGTGGCGTAATTTTTGTACGTAATAAAACTTACTGAAACGTCCATCCGTAATCATTAGTGACCCGATCCTTTAATGTCACCATTGCACCGGGCACAGAACATATCGGCCTATTCCAACAATCTTTGACTCTCCTGTATACGTATCTAAGATAAAATTTCTCAAAATTGTCATAGAGCGGCGCATATCCCTAAAAATACATATTTATTATAGGATAGTATGTTAATATTACATGATAAATCATGAACGTTTTGTAGAAATGTAATACATATATCGTACATAGAAAAATATGTTGTTATATATATATATATATATATACACATACATATTGTATATATAACAACATAGCTTCAGTTGCACATATGGAATTTTCAATTGAATAATTTGTTTTTTTGTAATGTTAAAAAACAGAGGTCATTGGGCGCATTCAGTGCACAAAACAGTTGCGAATTTATGTGCTAAATGGCCTATGATCTGGAGCGCTCCCACAATACGTTGTGGCAGCGGACGCCATTTTTTCTAGCAAAAATTTTTATGCTACACCGACACAACTATTGTGAGTTGTTATATATCGTCTGTGTTATTTTGGTTATAGTGCGTCGCAATGGCTTTTTATGAAATCAATATCAGTATTTATCAGGGTTGGGAAGTAACGCGTTACTTGTAATGCCGTTACCGTTACAGTTACTTTTTTTCGGTAACTGTAACGGTAACGGCGTTACAAATTCTCTTATACTCGAGGTAAAATATAATAGATCTCCATAGAATAAACTTTTATTTTTTTAACTCGGTAACTTTTTTATGAGCTTTTGTCGTAATCTCGAAAGCTCATAAAAAAGTTGCCGAGCTCAAACAGCTGTATGTGTATAAATTATTTTACAAAAGAAGATTTTTTGGAAAATTTCTTTCTCTTTGAATAAAACATGTGATACAGATAATGATTATATTTTGATCGATAAAAATAATGATTACATTATTAATTTGACGGTCTTTTTGAACAGCTTTTATTATAGACTTATGATTATTTATTTATATATATATATATATACTATCATTTATAAAAATCTATATTATAATTTGAATTAACATTATAAGAGAAAATATAAATAATTGTCATTGTACCTGCCTATTCTTTTCGGTAGCAACCTTCGGAACAAAGAATAATTGATTGATAAACCCCAGGAACATGAGAATATAGAAACCCAGATGTGTAAGTGCCGCTGTGATTAACGGAACTTTTTCAAAAGACTCTTTCGATGATAATTTTTGTAATTTCGTTTTTATGGGAGTATGAGAAAACTGCAATAAAAATTCGCACATTTAATTGTATAGCCGAGAATATTCTTGATGAAAATATATATATACTATATGTATGTATGTATATACAGGGTGGACCATTTTAATCAATCTACGCGAATATCTCGAAAACTGAGCCCGATAGACAAAAATGTTTCAGACCTTTCCCAACCCTGGTATTTATCAATACATGTACAATGGTTAAACTACAATATTGTAGATTCATTGGAGGTGCACGCGTGCGCCCGTTTTTTTTTAAGGCGGCTTACACTATTGACTATTGTAGCTATAAATATTAATATTTTTTAACGAAAATTTCAAAAAAGAAAAGGTAGTTCAAATTATGTACTTTGTGATGTTAATAACGCGATTTTGAGTGAGCTTTTTAAAGTGAGGTCAATGTGATCAATGTTTTCTTAAATGGGAACCCCTATTTTTTATTGCATATTCTTGTAGCTTATCTCGAGAGCTTTCCAAAACACTATAATAAAGTATTTTTTCATTAAGTACTTTTTGAATTATTGTATATTTTAATCTGACACATATTTTGATATTAAAAATAAAATATCTCGTAAAATATTTAGTTTTCGATAATACTACCGTAATACTTTTATATACAGAATAATGAGACAAATCAATTAATATAAAAAAAATTATTATTTTCAAGAGAAAGTAAATAATTATTTATAATGTATTTTTTTAACAATTATTTGTTTTCTTTTACACTAATTTATTTGTATATATATATATCGTTTTAAACATGTTACACACACACACGCACACACACGCACACACACACACACACACACACACATAAAACATGTTTAAAACGATACGAGACGATAATAAAAATTACGCATCAAAAAAAAAATTCTTTAAGATTTTATCATTATTTGTGTATCGTGTGTGTGTGTGTTATAAGGAAATATGACTCATGGTATGATAGGTTTCGAAGAAGATAACAAAAAAAAATATCGAGTATCAACAATAAGACGTAATATTGGTATATACGAGATTTTGTAGTCTTTACTTCATCAAAGAGAGAGTTATGTCTGCGCTGCGATACGATTAAAGCACGATTCGCAGTATAAGGTTGTGTGCGATCGTGTTTCATTTTTATTCGGAACGCATACCTTTACACAGACAATTAACTTTGTGATGTATTGTTACAAAGATGCCAGTGGCCCCTATTCTCTGCAGAACAATTTGAGTATTTTAAAAGATTGCAAGATTTGTAAAAAAAAAAGTAACGCGATTTGGGGAAAAAAACAAAACAATTATTTACCAGAAAAAGAATCCTTAAAAATAGTCTTTTTTAGCCGTTATACTGGTTTCTCCCCTTAATCGCACCATGATGAAACGGCAATATATATACGCTATCTTTTTTATCAGTTATTGGAACGCGAAGTATGAGATATCAAATTTAATAACCATCATCGTAATCTCTAATGTTGATTATAGCATCGATAGCGATTTCCGGACGACACAAGTATTTATTAGCATTTCAGAGTTTGTATATAGAAACAAGTGATAATCCCGAAGTCTCATCTTAAAGAATATTATCGTATCTAAAGAGACAGTAAGTGTATCATTTACATTTTTTAATAACATTTTTTTTTAACGAGAAGAGAAATAAGTAAATAATCTAATTTTTATTCAAAAAATAGAAATTGGTTTGGATTAGGTTAGTTTCTTTTGGGATGGGGATGCGAGAGGGACTCCGCCCCTCTCCCGCATTTGTATAAATACTTGGCGGATGATCCACCGTGGATCCCCTAATATGCATATATTTACCATCTCAAGTTTTTTCAAAGTCATTTCAAGTTCAAGGTGTCATAGGTTGTTCGATTCGTCTTTTGATTCGCTATAATTATAGCTGATTAAAAATGAAGTTTTCCATTTACAAAACTTGAGATGATCTTCGAAACTTTTTGACGCCTGCATCAAAAAAACAATCTAAGACAACTAAAAAAATGTAGCCTTTTCAAAAATTTTAAATAAAAAAAATTTTTTAATTTATATTTTCAAATTTAACTTTTATCTTATTGTTAAACCTTTTTGTCTAAAATCAATATTTATAAAGATATCTTAGAATTATAAAAAGAGATGAAATATGAAGAAAAAGAGATATGAGAAATCGTATATAAATAAATACAATTATTGCATGTTCTCTTCTCTATAAATTTCTTAGTCTATCTGGAAATTATTAGTCTTTAATTAAAATTCCTCGAAACACTTATAGTTTTCAAAGAATTGATGATTGAAGATAAGAAGCTAATAAACTAATTGTAGTTCATTTTATATTTCGATAGAACTTCAACATTTAATTATAATATAAAAAATTATAATATAAAAAATTAGCAATGATTTATGAAGTTTTGTTATTTCTATTAATGAAAAATAATCTTTTAATTTAGAAGATCAATGTTTAAAGAAACAATATGGATTTGGAGTATTCTATATATAAACTCTATTTCGGACTATTTGATTTAGAAAAAATAGATTCGCTTGACAAAATAATCGAGCATTCTGATTACTTTAATCGATTTTTGAAGAGAAGAATTACGTTGCAGTAGATGGTGCATATAGTTTCACGTTTCGTGCTGATTGCTGAAAAGTGTCAGATTTTTGCTCGATTGCTCGACCATGAGAGACCGTTAACGCATGTGCTTTAAATGGTGCTCAAACCGATATTCAGTTTGTTTTTACACGCAATGTCCTAGAAATGTTTATATTTCTTCCCTCACTCATATCATGTTTCTCATGTCTCACTTATTGTTTTAATAGCATATCTCTCAAATGGCAAACAAATTATTTGCATAAAATCTATTGCAGAATCTATTCGAACAAACTTTTCTAGGAAATGATATTTTCACGTTCGAATTAAGGAGAGAAACCAGTGTAACGGCTGAAAAAAGGCTATTTTTAAGATTTTTTTTCTGGGGTTTTTTTTTTTTTTTTTTTTTTTTTTTCGTTTTTTAAATCCAAAAAAACAAAAATTTTCTCAAGTTTTTTCAAAGTCATTTCAAGTTCAAGGTGTCATAGGTTGTTCGATTCGTCTTTTGATTCGCTATAATTATAGCTGATTAAAAATGAAGTTTTCCATTTACAAAACTTGAGATGATCTTCGAAACTTTTTGACGCCTGCATCAAAAAAACAATCTAAGACAACTAAAAAAATGTAGCCTTTTCAAAAATTTTAAATAAAAAAAATTTTTTAATTTATATTTTCAAATTTAACTTTTATCTTATTGTTAAACCTTTTTGTCTAAAATCAATATTTATAAAGATATCTTAGAAAGCAATTTTTAGTGACTCATCCTGTATATACAATATTCTATAAATGTTATTTTCTTTAGTTAATTATAAATTTTGTTAATTATATTTATCGTAATGTAAAAAACTCATATACTTGGTTTATACGCACTACTAAAAAAGAATAGGGAACACTTTTCATATCCTAAAAATTGGGCTATTTTCAAACCACTGAAACTCGACGGAAAATCATCGTAGACAAAAAATTAATAAAGCATTTTGAAGCTTGGAGTTTCAACTGTAACATGATATCAATCAATTCCAAAAAAATTTTTTATTTTCTCATTTCTAGGAAATATAGGTTTAGTTTCAAAATCGTGTAACTCGGTCGAAAAAAATCATAGGAAAATTTAAAAAAAAAGCATTTTATAGGCAAAATGTAGTTTATGGAATTTGAGTTGAATTTTTCAAGATCAATTTTTTTATCAAACTGCAGAGTGGCAAAAATATATAATTTTAAGAAACAAAACAATGGTTTCTTTTTTAAAGCTCAAAACAAGGAAAATAAAAAAATTTTTAGAAACCACCGATAGCGCGTTAAAGTTGAAACTTCAAGCTTCAAAATGCTTTTTTAATTTTTTGTCTACGATGATTTTTCGTCGAGTTTCAGTGGTTTGAAAATAGCCTAATTTTTAGGGTATGAAAAGTGTTTCCTATTGCTTCCTCATAGAGGAAGCTTTGTTTTCGTGTTTTTAAACAATTTTTTTACCAAGTTTTTTATGCCAATGTGTTCAGAATGTTCGAAAACCTCGAAAAATCATATTCCTAAAAAAATGTATGTATGTGTGTATGTGTGCATATATGTACGCGATATGTTGTGCAACCTCTAACTTCCGCAATTTTTAAGATATCTAGTTAAATTTTCTTACATGGATATATTATTATTAAAGGATAGTTGGTATTGAATTTGGTGAGAATCGGTGAAAGGGTTCATTTTTTTATAAAATTATGAATTTTTTAAGAAATGCCTGTACACGTTGTAACTTTCGGAAATTTTGAAATATCGGGTTAAATTTTTTTTTACATGGATATATTATTATTAAAGGATAGTTGGTATTGAATTTGGTGAGAATCGGTGAAAGGGTTCATTTTTTTATAAAATTTTGAATTTTTTAAGAAATGTCTGCACACGCTTTAACTTTCGCAAATTTTGAGATATCAGGTTAAATTTTTTTACATGAATAGAGTATTATTAAAGAATGGTTGGTATTGAATTTAGTGAGGATCGGTGAAAGAATTCATTTTTTATAAAATTTTGAATTTTTTGAGAAATGTCTGTACACATCCTAACTTTCGCAAATTTTAAGATATCAAGTTAAATTTTTATTTCACTCACAAAGCTTCCTCTATGAGGAAGCAAAAATTGAAAAACTCGCTTGCTTTAAGAATCTTAAACTTTGTGAGCGAAATAAAATGATGAGGAAGCAATGTGCAAGTTTCTAATTTGCACAATTTTTAACTTGTTTTTTTTTTTTTAGTAGTGTACATTTTAACTTGTTTTTTTTTTTTTTAGTAGTGTACATATTGTTTAAATAAATCTTATGTCCACATACACAAAAATAATGATTCATATATATATGTATATTTTTTATATATTTTTAATATCTATATCTCCAGAAAGATAATCAATATATTATAAATCGGACAATATCAAGAAATTAATTTTCTCAATGAGAGATTGCGATTGC